TGTTCTGGGCAGTTAGTTGTTCCCAAGGGCAGGGGTTGGTCACACAAAAGGCCAGGATGCCTCCAACATGTTCCCAGGCAGTAATAGGCTACTTTTCCTAGGAGCCAGGATGGGCCTTATCTGTAGTTTCTGAAACAAAAGCTAAACATACACATTACTTTTTAGACTTACAGCTTTTTACCTTAAGCTAAAATTTTGTATGTCTTGAGTCTGCTATAAATCTGACACATGAATCAGGGTCACAGGGCCCCTAGTTTTATCTCAATGGTCATGGATAAGATCATAACACATGTGTTCAGTTACTTCCCAGGAATTAATTCCCCAGGAGAATGAAGCTGTGAACACCATAGAATGAAACATTTTTATTAGCAGATTCAAATGTATCTTTTATATTTTCTGCAATAAGAATTCATAAGTGAATACACTTAGGTTGACAAAACAATGCCAATATTTTAACTGGTTTGGTAATATTTTATTTATTTTTTATCATTTTTTATTGTTCAAATTCAGGTGTCTCCATTTTGCCTCCACCACTTTCCCCCACCTCACCTATCCCCTCTTCCCACCCTCAATCCTATTTCCTTTGGCTTTGTCCATGGGTCCTTTATTTATGTTCCTTGAAGACCATTTCCCCTTTTCTTGCCCTCCTATCCCACATTACCTTTCTGGTCCCTCCCCTCTGGTTGCTGTCAGTTTGTTCTTTATTTCAAAGTCCCTGGTGATATCTTGCTTGCACATTTGTTTTGTTAATTAGGTTCCACTTATAGGGGAGATCATATGTTATATGTCTTTCACAGACTGGCTTATTTCACTTAGCATTTCATCCATGATGTCATGAAGGGTAGGAGCTCTTTCTTTCTTTCTTCTGCGTAGTATTCCACTGGGTAAATGTACCACAGTTTTTTGAGTAAACTGAAGATGGATACAAGACTTCAATATATGTGATACCATAAAAGCTGTACAGGAGAATAATGACAGGTAAATCTCATAAATTCCACAGAGCAATATTTTCCCTGATATGTCCCCTAGAGCTTGGGACATACAGGAAAGAATAAAAAAAATGGGATCAGATCAATGCAAAAAGCTTCTGCATGGTGAAAGAAAAAAAAATAGCAAAATGAAAAGGGAACTAACTGCATGGGAAAACATAGTTGTCAATGACAGCTCGGATACAGTTTTTTCTCCAGAATAAAAAGCTCACAAGACTCCACTCGACAAAGACAAGAGACCCAGTTAAAATGTGGGTAAAGGACCTGAACAGCTACTTCTCCAAGGTGGACATACTGAGGGTACCAGAAACATATGAATGGATGGTCAGCATCACTAGCCATCAGAGAGATGTATCTTAAAGATTTGGTGCTCACTAAGTTTAATTTATAACTAGATGTACTAGAACTGAGCTTTCAGTTTCAGTCTTATCCCAGACCCCACAAGAAGAAGGAGTGAATTTTCATTCACAGAGTTCATGGTCTGGGGGACACCTGCCTGTGGTTTCTGAATCCATCCGTCTAGGTCATGATGCTCTGGGGAACAAGACAAATGTCCTGTGCTGAAAGGAACAGGAAAACCCAGAATATGTTGTTGCTTTCATCTCAGAGGGGCTGAGATTTCTACAAGAAACGTTCTTCCCTTAACAGAACACACAAGATCCCTGAATGAGTATTCATCTGAAGATTCTCTAGCTCTTGAGCCTTGTGGGAAGACAGGGACACAGCTATGACTTATATGCTACATCTCAATATAGTGATGGTGGACACACAGGCCATTTTGGGGATCAGCCTTCCAGGAAAGTACCTTCCTCCAAAAGCCTCAGAAGAATCTTCACCAGGCCCTTCCTTTGAACATTTGAAAGCACAGAGCTCTGTCTGAAACAGTATATCTCCCTGGAGGGGCAGTTCTGACAATGGACTCATAATATTCGAAACAATGCCTGCCTTTTCACAGGCTCATCCTGCACTGGTAAAAAACCTGTGCATCACCTGACATTGGCTACAAGTCTACCTCTGTTCTCTAGGGAGCAACATCAAAACACACATGAAATAGACACATGAAAATGGCTTTGGCTAAGAAGATGAAGGAGGTTGATTTTCATCCTCTTCTTCAAGAGACATTTCTTGGGTCTTCTCTCCTGCCTGCTCTGTCCAGTCTGCTACTTCTAAAAACTGTTAACAAAAGGGGACTGTGTAGCTATTGGGAAATGCCCTGCCTGGTATCAGAAGCTGTAACCTCTGCCAAGGCTAAGGCTGAGGGAGCTACCTTGGACCATAAGCCACCAAGGAGACAAAAGCTTACCTCCCTGGCGGGAGCACCACTTCTGCTCCTTTTACTTCACCCTGTCTGGCTTCCAATGCTTGGTCAGTTAACCAATGATGGGTAAGATTCCCCAAGGGGGGAATGATCTAAGACAGGCACAATCATGTGAGAGGCCCCAAGGAAGGACTTAGGTGAGTACAGCAAAAGGGGATGATGGACCCTCACCCCTCAGCTTTGTCATAGTCTGAGTCCTCACTGTCTGTGAGAAAATCTCCTAATCTCTTGGCGGCCTTACTTCTCTTGCTCCACCTAAACCTGAAACAATGACAGAGGGTGGTGTAGCCCTGTGCTGGAAAGGGCAGGTTCCCCAGGTGGTCAGGCCTAAGAAAGAATATGTAAAATCCCATGAAACCTGCTTTGTTTAGAATGATCTCAATTATCTGATAAGGGTCCAAAGAAGGAGTAAGTTTGTTCCTTAAAGTTTTTTACAGCTCTTTAGCTATCTGACTTTGACTCAAAATAGGTCTTCAGAGTTCCTTGTTATTTGGTACTTACTTCATGGCAATAAGTAATGAGCTTTACCTGAATTCCTGTGTAAACGAACCCAATATAAGCCATTGAGGAAAAGGCTTTTGGTCCTTCTCCTGGGAGAGATCGACCACCTTTCCTCCCTAAGCAGATCATGTCTTGGTACACTTATTCTCATCCAAGGCAGAGAGGGGGCCCTGGGGGCAGAGCTCCCCTACATGTAGCAACACTCGCAAGCTCAGGGACCCACATGGAAGGTCTGTGAATCATCACATTATAATCTAATCTGAAGTTTCTAACTGGGCAGGGGATGGCAGGTTGCCACATTCCAGGCCTTCATTTTCCTTAGCACAAGTCAGTCTTTACCTTCAATGAGCACTGATGTCTTCTTTTATTCTTCTTCTTCTTCTTTTCCTATTGGATAGTATAACTTTGAAACATCAGAGGGATTTTATTTGCTGGGCCCTTCAAAAGCACAGAGTCTGCGACAAATGCATGAGAACACAGACTCTTTATGTTATCTGGTATCCCACACACCTTCTCTGTGTCCTGTAAAGGTGAATTAACCTGTACCCAACAATGAAAACAAACAAACAAACAAACAAACAAACAAATACATAGTAAATAAATAAATAAATATTTCTCCATTTTGTATTTTACCCAGTTCTAGAAATTTCTCTGCTATTTTTTTCTCTCACCTTCTAATCGATTTTATGCATCCTTGTTCACCTTCTACTTTGATTAAAATGTATAAAATAAGCTACAACACTGCCTTCACAGTATTTGATTTGACTTCAATTCCAGATATATGAGGTCAGTTTGGCTCAGATAATCTCATTAAATTGATCTATAGGTTGAGAATTTTTTTTTATTTTGACAGACTTTAGAGCACCTCCTCCTTCATGGGGTTCTGTGATGCTCCTTTCCTCATGACTGCCATCACCCATGGAAGAGAAGGTCGCCCAAGGAGAAATTAGAAAGCCATCCAAGGAGAAATTAGAGGTTCTTCCAACAGCCAGGCAGCACAAGGACAGGTCCGACAAATAGACATGGAGCTGGGTCATGTCCATGAAACTGTCCCCTAGAAAACAGGAGGCCCATCAACACTTAAATACCCCCACAGTCCTTTTTTTTTCCTGGGACATGCAGGACACGTCCCACTTCACAGCAAAAATCTGCAGGCCTTACCTAGACTCCTGGGTTTGCATGATTGTCCTGGGAAGCAAAAGCCAGTCTGGCGACAACTTGAGATAAAAGAAGGGTCCCCTCTGTAATTATCAGCAAGTGTGACACTTACTCACAGACAGAGTCATGTGTGTGACCTTCCTGCTAGGAGGAAAAAACACCTCAGAGCATCAGAACATGGAGAGGACCTAGGGCCCAGCTGGGTTTCTGTGTCACAAACAGAAATAATCCAGACTTTTTAGAACAACTGTGGCTCTCTGAGTGGTGCTGATAGTCCCAAGACCAAGTCTCAGCAGTGGTCAATGTTGGCCTTAGTGTGTCATACTCTCAGGGACACATGTGACCCCAACAGCATTGCTATTGCAAGTGTACCCTACAGGTAAATTGGATTAACCTCTCCTGACAGCTTCTCAGATGCAGAGTCATTAATCCACTGCACCTCAGAATCTGTAGTAAAACAGGATATGGAGACTTTCCCTGTGCACAGGAGAGTAGGAGAAGTTGTTCTAACTTCATATCAAGCCATCACAATTTGAAGGGGCACCCACATTACCTAGAGATCTGCTGAAGCTTCATTTTTAAGATTTCACCAGGAAATGGACATGTTGAAAAAGTTTCACAGAAGATCTAATGCACAGGATGTGTGACATCATTTTGACAGCTTTTTTCAGAGTTAGCTCTAGAAATCCTGCTCTGAAGGGAAAAATCAAATGTGAAAGAAAGAAGACTGTGGGGGAGGCTATTGTACACCTCAGAGGGAGCTGTGGGAAATGCTTGAAACCCACACACTCCAGGCTTTTGCTTTTCATAACACAACATGGGATTGGGTGTTTGTGTATGTGTGGTATTGAGAGACCTTAGAAGTTCCCAGGGAACAAAAATATAGGGGAGCATTACTGGTTAAAAGGTACAAGGGTGGCAAAAAGGAGGGCTGGGAGAGGGAGGGTAATGTGCACAAACCCCGCCCCTAGCCCACATGACAAGAATAGTAACATGCCCCAGAATAAAACTCAGCACAAATGTAGGATACACAGCACATTGCACCATTCTAGACAGAGGTGCCTGTGAGCCTTACACAACCACAAGCTTCTCTCAAAGAGGCAGCCACAGAAGGGACAACATACACCATGGGGTCTCTTTCAATCTCTACCCACAGAGGATTTGTCCACTGGCAAGGGCTCCTGCTGGTTGGTAAGTAGGAGACAATTCCTTGGGGTAGACTAAGGATCTGACACAGAGTTTGGCTGAGATCTGCTGAAGAGACCAGTGCTCTGAGAAAAGAGGGAGGCTTCTGATTGAACCTGAAGCTGAAGGACAAAGGAGCAGAGTAAGATGAGGAAGGGGGCTCATCTAGAGGGATATCTCATAATCTGGAAATGGAGAGATGTGGTGGGGGGAGGCCTCTGCCTGCAGGGCCCCTCTTCTAGCACAGATGAGAATAAGTCTACCAAGACATAATCTTCTTTGGGAGGAAAGGTGTCTCATCTCTCACAGGAGAAGGACCAAAAGCCTTTTCCTCAACGGCTTTTATTGGGTTCCTTTACACAGGAATTCAGGTGAAGCTCATTAATCATTGCCAAGAAGTAAGGATCAAAAAAATAGATAACAAAGAGCTCTGAGGACCTATTTTGAGTCAGGGTCAGATAGCTGAAGAGCTATAAAACTTTGAGGAACAAACTTACTCCTTCTTTGGACCCTTATCAGATAATTGAGAGCATTCTAAACAAAGCAGGTTTCACAGGGTTTTACATATTCTTTCTTAGGCCTGACCACCTGGGAAACCTGCCCTTTCCAGCACAGGGCTACACCACCCTCTGTCATTGTTTCAGGTTTAGGTGGAGCAAGGGAAGTAAGGCCACCAAGAGATTAGGAGATTTTCTCACAGACAATGAGGACTCAGACTATGACAAAGCTGAGGGGTGAGGGTCCATCATCCCCTTTTGCTGTACTCACCTAAGTCCTTCCTTGGGGGCCTCCCATGTGATTGTGCCTGTCTTAGGTCATTCCCCCCTTGGGGAATCTTACCTATCATTAGTTAACTGACCAAGCATTGGAGGCCTGGCAGGATGAAGTAAAAGGAGCAGAAGTGGTGCTCCTGCCAGGGTGATAAGCTTTTGTCTCCTTGGTGGCTTATGGTCCAAGGTAGCTCCCTCAGCCTTAGCGTTGGCAGAGGTTACAGCTTCTGAAACCAGGCAGAGTGGTTCCCAAAAATGAGAGGTAGAAAACCCTCATTTGCTGTGCATTTCCTGTTATATGTCATGCTGACATACAGATGTATCAGGAAGCACCAGAAAAATTTAACAAGGAGTGTTAGACATTGTCTTTATCACCAACCTTTGTAATGGGCCAATAAATCCCAGGATGTACAGGACACTGGAATCACGAATTGACTCACCCTAATGTATTTCCAGGCTGTTGCAGTCACTGGAGGTAGAAGACGAGACAAGCCCTGTTCTCATGGAGCCCATGTAGTATCTAGGAGAGAGGGACAAGGATGTATCTAGATGGGTCAGGGATCCACAATAGCCAGGAAAAAAGGGAGTAGGGGCAGGTAAGAAAGTGAAGGCAAAGAATCTTTAGATAAGATGGTCATCAAAGATGCCTTTCAAAAATGCCTGTGAGTACCACGTGGTGTCTGAGCACAGTGAAGGGGTAAGCAAGAGAAACATCTAGGAAAGAGTATTTGAAACTAAAATAATTAAAGCTTCAGAGGTGCTGAAGTAAAAAAGGCCATGTCTCTGACCTTGACCTGAGAGAAACAAACTCACCTATAGACCAAGGCTGAGACATAAACAGACTTGCTCAGGATTCAGGGACTCATCTTTCCATCCGAAAATGTAGATACTAATAATGATGCTTTTTTTTTAAATTTCCTAGTCTCACTCTTCAACTTCTGGAGCCACCCCACCACAGCCCAAGTGGCAGTTGAGTCAATTGATGCTCTCGAGGGGATGGATGTGGTTCTGAATATCCACCAGAGGCCACTGAATGCAGAATACTTCCTGTGGTTCAGGGGAACAACCGTGGACAGTTATACTAATATTGCTTATCTTGTAATAAGACCAGGAAGCCGTGTGAGAGGTGCTGTACGTAGAGAATTAAGAGTACAGGATGATGGGTCCTTGTTGTTAAAGAATGTCACCATGAACCATTCAGGATCCTACACCATAATGGTCCTACTTCAAGGCTGCCAAAAAATGATAGCATGTGGATACCTTACTGTATACCGTGAGTGATTGGTCTCTGACCTCTGGGTGTCAGGTGGGGTGAATTCAACTTCACATGCAGGACTGATGTACCCTGGACACTACCTCTATTCCTCTTGACACTTTGTTTCCGGGGTGAATTTTAGTGCTTCATGCGGCATACACAGATAATGCAGACAAACTTTCTAAGACCTCAGTTCCCTTTCGTATTTCAGCCTTGCAGACTGTCAATGAAGACAGAAGGATCGGGTTTATAGGAGTAACTTAGCAAAGGGAGACCAGATTCATTTTAGCTTCCTGAGCACCTGCCTATTCACTTGACCTTGAGATTGAATTTTGTACTTCATCAGAGAACACTCTGAGAAGTCCCCTGAAATTCTGACATAGCTCAGCCCAGAAAGTCCTCCTAAGAATCCTATCCCACTAATCTTTACTCCTAGGACCCTGGTGAGCCTGTGCTAGGTTGGGTTTGACCTCCTCAGAAGGGCTGAGTTGTAACAGTTTAATGGGTGCCCAAGTCACAAGGCTACTGAGGAAGTAACCAGTGAGGGCTCCTGACCAAGTCCTGCATCTCGCCAGAAATGGAGTTTGGTCTATCATCAACTGAGTTTTGTGTGAAGAGCAGAGGGACACAATGTCCTTGTAGAGAACTGGCTATCTTGGGGGTCTCAGGAAAGTTCAGAAGAAGGCCAGCATTCCCTAAAAGAAACTGAGAAAAAAAGATTTTCCTGAAAGCTCCTCATTCACCAGGGATTTGCCAGTGGATCTCTCTGGGAGTTGATCAATAACAGATTCCTCTTTTGAGCAGTTCTTCTATTTCGAGATTTAGATCACATCCTCTAAATATTTTACAGTCATTACACTGACACCGTGGCAGCCAAATATTCATTGAGAAGAAACTGAAAAACTGGGATATACGATCACTATGAGAGTCAAAAAGACTGTGAGCAGGTGATCAGGGCCACTAGAGTTCTGTTGTAGACACAGATTAAATTTGTCTACCTCTGGGGACTTATGAGGGAGTCTTCAGACTCCTAAACCAAAACAAAATAGTTCAGACCCTTTTCTCTTAGGTGTCTTCAGTCATAAGAATACATTTTGATCTGTGAATGGAAAAAAAATGTAGTCAATCTACTTTTACTCTAGAAAAACATTATCTTCAATAACAGAGTCACTACATAGATTACCCAGGCATCCCCCTCAAGTGGCCCATCCACACCTCCCTGCACTGGACTTGACATCACTTACTTGTTTCCTGTTCTGGTGCAGACTCTCCCAGCAGATGTAAAGGAAAGGACTTCTCTGTTTCATTCTCCACTGTACACCTGAAACCAACCCAGGAAGAACTTTTATCAAGCACTGAGTTGTTTTTGATAAGTTAGGAAGAACTAAATGGTAATTTAATGGACAAATGAATGAATGATCCACAATCTCTTCAGAGCCTGGAACCTGGATTCAGATTCCTTGGAATCCTCACCATTGGGAATGGGGTTTACTGGACCCAGGAACTAAGACCATCATCTCAGATCCTTCCTTTTCTCTAATAAAATAGGACTTGCTATTGGTCTTAGGCCCTGGAGTATTAATAATAATTTTTACATATAGAAAAATTTTAAGTTTTTTTTTCCAATTTCTGTCTCATAGTCACTGAACACAAATTGTCCACAAGTGCTAAAATTTCAGCGAGTCTATGCTTCCCATTTGCTCTAAGACACTGATTTTGCATTTGCACAAGTGCTCACCTGCCTTCAGTAGAGACAGAATGGCTTTTATGGTCAAGGGCAGAGCACATGATTCTGCTGCCATTATCAGCTTCTGCCTGTCTTTTTTCCTCTTTGCTAAATCATTTCTTGGACCCTGCTCTATCATTCATTGCGTCACTGGCTAATTTTAGTCTCATTCACCTGGAAAGGCCTGACCTATCTCTTTGTCCAGGGCCTGAGTAGTCAGCTTATCACTGGCTTGCTTCTGGTCTCTATATGTTATTTCTGCTCAAACCCAACCCAGTGTCTAGGATGTCCTGAAAAATAGTGCTTCATAGAAACACACCTCAGTTGGGCAATAGATGTCTGTGCAGCTGGAAGGAATGGCTTCTGGTGACACAGGCAACCAGAAGGTGGTCAGGGAAGAACCAGGAGAATTGCAGTGGTCTCTTTGAATCTCTTTCTTATGTCTTTCCTTAACCAACAGTAACACTGAACTGACACCTGAGAAAGTCTGTAGTTCCCCCTGACATATAGCTGGAGGAAATGCATTCTCTGAGTGCTCTGATTCCCAAACATGTTCTTGTGATATGCTGACCTGCCTTGTTAGTTCTAAGACTCAAGTTGACTAAGAGGAGAGAGGTACCAACTGTGCTTAAAGAAGCTTTTGGAGATATCAAAAGTGCCACACAGGGCATTTTTTTTTTCTCTTTCCTGCAAAGCAGAGTAAACCACAACCAACTTTACAAGCAACAAATTCAATCATGGGAGTTTTGATTTTCATTTGTGTACATAATAGTGGTGTTGAGCATTTTCTGCTGTAACTATGTGCCATCTGTATATATTCTTTGGAGAAATGTCTATTAAAGTGTTTTGTTCCATTTTTAAATAAGATCATTTGGTTTTGTGGTTGTTGTTGAATATAGATGTTTTGTATATTTTAGATATTAACTTTTAATTTTTCATATGATTTGCAAAATATCTTCTCACACTTTATGGGTCACCTTTTAACATGTTACATCTTTTTTTGATGAAGAGACTTTTTTCATTTTGAGAATATGCAAATTGTCTATTTTTTTACCTGTCTTCTTAGTGTCACATTTACAAAATCATTGCCAAATTCAATGTCATAATGCTTCCCTTGATACATTTTTAAGCATTTTAAAGGGTTAGATCTACCTTTTAGAATTTGATACGATTTGACTTATTTTTATTAGTTTTGCCTTGAATATGAAATTAATTTTTATACAATTTTGACTTAATTCTGTGTAGTATCAGTCAGGGATACACATCATTAATTTTCATGTGGATATTGGTGTTCAACACCATTCATTGTTAAGATGGCATTTTCCCAATTGAAATCCTGGCCTTTTCTCTTTTCAAAATTAATTATTTTTTATTGTTGTTCAAGTATGTCTCTCTATTTTCCTGCCACCACTTTCACCCACCCTATCTATCCCCAGCTCCAACCCACAATCCTTACCCCCTTTGGCTTTCTCCATGGGTTCTTATACATGTTCCTTGATGACCCTTTCCCTCTTGTTCCCCTGTTATTCCCCTCTTCCTTCCCCTCTTGTTACTGTCAATTTGTCTCTATTTCAGTGTCTCTGGGTATATTTTCCCTGAGGTAATCTGGGAACAGAGAGTGGTTGCAGCTCTTTCCTTAATATTGTTAACTGAACTTAGACAATTGTCCTCCAAATGCCTGGACCACACTCTGGTGAGCTTTACCTAAGTCACTGTGGCCTGTGAGTGGCTGAGGTCTCTGAGCAAGCTATGTGGCTGCATGTCTGAAGCCCATTCTCAATGAGTTACTTTCTCTGCTTCTCCACAGGACCTGTGAGTGTGCCCATCCTCCGAGCTAGCAAAACCACAGTTACAGAGAATAAAGATGCTGTGGTCTTCACCTGTGACACAAACAGTGAAAACATTGACTGGTTTTTCAAAGATGCACGTCTGCCACTCACAGAGAGAAGGAAGATGTCACTTGACCGCAGAAACCTCACCATAGACCCTGTCCTGAGATGGGATGCTGGTGTTTATCACTGTAAAGCCTCTAACCCCAGAAGTTCTGGCACAAGTGCTCCACTTAAGCTGAATGTGGAAGTTGAGTGACTCTTCTTTCCTCCTCCATGATGTTAAACTCTAAATAAAGTATTTTGGAACATCATAATTGATTCATTATGAGGGTGAATAGTTTTTAAAGATTTGCATTGAGTCAATAAACAGTAGAAAAAGTAAGCTGATGTGGTCATTATTCTTGACATAAGATAACATTTCAGACCACCCCCCACCTTGGTTTGGTTTCATGTGTACCATATCCACAGGGAGGGGTCATTGTGACACTGTGTCACTCAGGTGATGAGCAGTAGTTGTTTGATAACAAATGAGGAAAGGTAAGGAGCTTAGAGAATATGAGCTCTGTGTCTTGTCCCTGAACACATGTGGAGGGGACCTGTTGTAGACAATGGGAATGGACAAGAGGACAACAGTGTGAGTAACAGCACTAATTTTTGTGTTTTTCTTTGAGGTATCTCAAAATATTTCTAAAGTCTCTTGAGTATTCTTCCTTTTATGCCAATAAAATTATTTGCATGAGTTCAGTACATTTCTGTTCCATTCGTTAATGAGGTATATTTGGAAAATTTGGTAGTAAAACCAAAGCTTTAGTTCAAATGTTGTAGTTCACCCTGATGCCCATAGAATTTGAAATGACCTCATACTTTATAGAGCTAAGCTTGACATCTTCAGACTTTTGGTATCTCTTGCAGAAAAGACATCACCCAAAGTGAGCGAACTGGAGGTGAAGTGTTTGGGTAAAGCTTCCTAACTTCAAGAGGCTATTAAAACTCCCATCATATTTTTCATGAAAAAACCTCATCAGAGCAAACTATGGGGTGAATGTCATTTCCTCTGCACTTAGGTAACTAACTAAGCAGGCTAAATCAGGTGACACCAGCCATGTTGTAGGGTCAGGAACCCATTTCTCCCTTAGTGATTAATTTTGATGAATGGGATAGAAACTGCAGAGATAAATACAATGCCTGAATGGAATTCTCCAGAGGTAGAGTCTTACTAAGATATCAGGTTCTGGCTGTGTTCAGGATGTCTCAGTTATTTTGCACCTCTTTATAAATTGCAGGAACTAATGCAGATGCAAATTACGTCTTGGCCTCAAGAGATTTAGTTGTGTTTCCCTCCACTGTGCAGAAATCAGTTTGGTTATGACCCATAGACCTTCATGTTCCCTCAGAGTCCTTAGCTTCAGACAAGTTCTTCCTGTTTGCAGGACTTTGACCTCCAAATTTTAGAGAATTCTCTTTAGAAATGGAATTGCAGTTTGCAATTACTGATTTTTTGCCATTTGGAATATACATGAGTCCCCTTAAAATTATCTTGCTAGATATGATTCAGACAGTATCAATCAAAAAGGCCTATATCCATCTCATAAAATTTAATCATCCCGCTGTCCCTGTGTCTCAACTTCTGTGGGTCATACAAGTGTAACTTGGGTGAGGATGTGTACAACCATGATGTAAGAAGACCTGTGAAGATTTTATGAGGAGTTTTACGTTTATATTTTCTTTTAACTGTGGCTCAGTTTGCTTAAAATTATTTTAATTACTGACATCTTATCTCTAAACATTTTCTTTGATCTTGTTTTAATTATTGTTCACGTACAGTTGTCTCCATTTTCCTGACACCACTCCTCCCAGGCCACACATATCTTCTCTTTTACCCTCAAAACTAAACCTCTTTGTCTTTGCCCATGTATCCTTCATAAGTGTTTCCTGATGACCCTTCCTATTTTTACCCCATTACACCCCTCTCCCCTGCCCTCTGGTTACTATCACTTTGCTCTTTATTTGAGAATCTCTGGTTATATATTGCTCACTTGTTTATTTTGTTGATTAGCTTCCACTTATAGGTGACATCAAATGGTATTTGTCATTCATGGACTAGCCTATTTCACTTAGCATAAATGCTCTCCAGTTCCATCCATGATGTCATGAAGTGTAGGGGCTAATTCTTTCTGCTGTGTAGTACTCCATATCTTTAGAAATCTTTGGTAGTTTCAGTGTATACATCTTCCACCGCCTTCATTGAGCTTATTGCAAAGTATTCTAGTCTTTGTATTGGTATTGTAAATGGAACTGTTTTCTTAATTTATTTTTGAGATATTTGTTGTTGATACATAGAAAAGAAATGAGGCTGTTTTTCTCCTGCAACTGCACTGAATTTATTAGTTTTAAGATTTTTTGGTGGTGGGGAATGAAATCTTTAATGTTTTCTACATGTAACATTATGTTGCCTATTAAAATAGATAATTTTCTTTTTCACTTTCCAGTTTTGATACCTTTATTTTACCTTTCTGGCTAATAGTTTCAGCCAGACTTCCAGTACAATGTTGAATAAGTGGGGAAAGAAGCATTTTTCATATGGTTCATGATCTTACTAACATTTTTGGTGTTTCTCCTTACCACATTGTGCTACCTGTAGGCTTTCAAGCATGACATTTAACATATAGAGTAGATTCCTTCTGTGCTTACAGTGTTTGTCTCATATCAAAACCATAACCACTTATCTCTAGTGATTTTACTTGATGGTGACATTCAGTTTGTAGGCCCAGAAAGTAAAGTCATGTAGGATTGAGAAATTATTTAGATGAAACTTCTCAAAATCCAAGATTATGAATATTGGGTTGGTTCATCTTCTTTCCTCATAAAGTATTTAATGAGAGGTAAATGTCTTTTCAGTTACAGTGAAGTTTCATTGGTCCCAGAGACTCATAGTGGAGGTAAGCCTTCCCTCTTTGACATTCATGGAAGTTCACATGAGGAGAGTGACTTGCATAATTTTGAAGTCTAAGAAACATCTAGGAAAGAATCAATAAAAGCTTATGAGAAGAAAATTTTGTGTGATAATGTGGATGACACATGGGCCAGGAAGTGTTTTCCTGTGCTGGTACTACAGAGATGTTCACAGAACAAATCAGAAGTCACCCTGGAGTAATCTGGCATCAGAGAAAAGGTGCTGTCCACTTTGTATACATTGTTATCTCAATGATGACAATGGTCATTCTGCACAGGTCAGGACCATGCCCTGGTGAACTTTAAAGAGCCTACAATATACTATGAGTGGGTGACTTCTCTGAGGAAACTGCATGGCCCCAGGTCCCAAGCCCACTCTCAAAACGTTACATCATATGTATCTCTATAGAATCCATGGAAATGACTATCCTCCTAGGCAGCAACACTACAGTCAGAGATTACAAGGATGCCATGGTCCTGACCTGAGACATAAATGTGATCTCCACACAGTGATTATTCAGTGGCATGAGTCTTCAGTTCTGGGAGGGAATTAATCCGTCCTGGTGTTACAGACACAACCCCCACAGGGTCTTTTGTTACTCTAGGTTCTTCTCACTACTATATTCATGACTGTGGCTCTCAATGCCATAGTATGGTAAAAAGGAAAAGAATTGCTTAATTAAAAGACATACAGGTTTAGAATAATGTCAGAATTCTGCTACTAAATATCACTCCCTTCAGAAAGCACAGAGAGAATCACAAACACACCTTTGTACCCTCTTCCCTTTGTCTAGTGGGGCCATTCTCAGAGCATGCTAGTCAGAAGTACTGGCTTTCAGAAGAAAAAGAACAAAACAAAACTGAAGTCAGCAGATCACTTCTCCTGGTTCCTCCCCCTAATCGTGCTTGGCTGGGCAGGTATCCCTCAGTTTCCAATACCATCAGCTATGTCACTGAGATCTCCAGTTTTTAATCCAAAACTATGTGGGATTTCCTCTTGGCTGGCTGTCGAGAATCTTTTTCACCTGTTCCCCCCACCCCATGGTCCTGTCAGGTCTCTCCTTTTCCGTGTCATACATGGTAGACCCTCTTTTATTTAAATCCCAGCCTGGACCCTCCTCCATAACCTGATTTCCAAGTAGGTCCACGATTGCCTGCACCTGCTACCACTCTCATACTTTCTACCTTTCTCAGCTGTCATAGTTAATCCTGGCATGCCTAGCCTCATGACGCAGAACCTGACCCTTAGCTGCTGTCACAGGCTCACAAAGTCCCTCTGGCTACATGGAATAATGACTTAGCATCATGCCCATCTCTCTGGTTCTGCCAAGGCAATAGTTTTAATATTATTTCAACTTGGCCAAGTTACCCTGTTACACTGGCAATTCAGAAAATTTATCATAGACCCTGTCAATAAATAATGCTAAGATTTACCAGTGTGACATTTGCACACATCTGTTTCTTCCAATTAGATGTAATATATGAGTGACACACCTCCCTCCTCCATGTTATTGAACTCAGAATTCTTTTATCAGCAACTTTAATATATTTTTTGTTGAGATGGAAAGTCCTTAGGAGACTTTCACTGAACCAATAAATACTCAAAAATGTGAGCTGACATCGTCATTATAACTGACTGAAAGTCATATTCTACATTTAAGATGATCTTCACCATGGAAGTGACACTGTGTTCCTCCAAGGACATGCAGTGGTCTTGAGATGACTGGTAGGAGCACATGATAAGCTGACAGGAATTTGACCTCAGACCCTGCTGCTTGTGGATGTGTGGAGGGCACCTGGACACCATTTTAAACAATGGAAATGGACTAAAGGACACCCATGTGGGTAGAGACACTGATCTTTGTTTCAGTATTTGATTTCCCTCCAAATTTTCTAGTCTGCTTGAGGATTTGTTTTCACAGCAATGGAATTATTTGCATGAGTTCACCATGACTCTGTCCTCTTTGTGTCCTCTTTAGTTGTGTTCATGTACATTGTATGAAAAGCTGTTGTGTTAGGACCTAGATGGTTGAGTATTCTCTCAGATTTCCTAATCAATTGACAGGTACTTTCTGTCTATCAGCCTCTGAGTTCTCATTTTAAAGCATTCTCTTTGGAAACATACATGCAATTGGTAATTGCAGATTCTTGCTCTGCCCTTCTGAAATACACACAGGTATCTTTCAAAGCTTCTTGTTATTTTATCTGTTTAGAAGGTTTAGGTTCATTCTTCTGAAATGAATTCTGCTGGTGTCCCTCTGTCCCATTCTCTGAAAAAACAGAGAAGTCTAACTTATTTAGGAAACTTTACAACCAAGATGTTAAATGACCTTATGTCAGGGTTTCACAGGAAATTTTAATGTGTTTTTTTTTTGTGTGTGTGTGTGTGTGTAGAGACAGTTAAGAAACACAGATGCCTATGTTTCTTCT